GGAGGCGCCCTAAGGGCGAGTTGAGGCCAAGGCTGCAAGGCTGCGGGCACAGGCACGAGAACGCCGGGGCCGGGCCCCCTCTACTCTCCCCGTGGCCCTCCTCCCCCGCCCCGTTGCAGGCCCTGTTGGCTTCGCCCGCGTCGCTGTCTCACCTTGAACACCGAACTGGATGACTATGTCCGCCTCGGCGCCGGACACGCGCGTGAAGCTGAGCGGCGTCACCGCGCTCCAGACCGCGAAGGCCCGGGCAAAGGCGTCGTCGATCACGTCGCGGGGCAAGTCCTCCGAGTAGTTTTGGATCCTGCAGGAGGAAGGCAGGAAGACCGGAGTCAGTGGCGGCAGCCTGGGCGGCAGCTACAATCTGTGTCTCGGCACCCCCCCACCCCGTGCGCAGACCCGGAGACCCNGTGCGCAGACCCGGAGACCCGCCTCTCCCTCCGACCCCGCGCGCACCAGTACGTGATGTTTTGGTGGTGCCACTTGAGGTCGCCCTCAAAGGTCTGGAATCTGCCCACGTCTGGGACGCCACAGCGCGGGGCACGCATGGCCTCCAGGGTGGTGCTGTCCAGCTCTCCAGTCTCGGGCAGAGACAGGCTCCTCTGGAGAAGGCGCAGCGCCCTATTCATGGACTGTTTGTCGTCGCTCAGCTCGGCGACTTGGGTGTAGCCATAGCGGAATAGATACTCCTGTGGATGGAGGCGCAGAGACATCCCAGAGAGCTGACTCCCTTTCTCTGCTCTACTGGGCCAGAACTCCATCCCCCCCAGGAGCTCAGGGACTAGCAACAAGGCATTGACTGTCCCCAGAACTTGGTACCCTGGACATCAGTACTTGTGCCCACCCAAGCACCTTCTCTCCCTGTAGGCATCCTTAGTTCCTTCCCAGCCCTGGATGCTCCTGGTCATGCCTACTTCAGGGTTCCCTAGTTAACAGGATACCCCTATTAACTCCCAGCCCATGTGCACTCCAGAACCATCCAATGCTCCCCCCACACCATGTCCCATTGCGCACCTAGAAAACCCTCATGAACCCATTTTTGACCATCGCTGCCCAGGCTCTCCACAGGAAATCCCCCTCCCAGTGCCTGATCCTAGACACCTGTGTTCTCTAGACATGCCTGTTACCCCCAGTGTGGCCCAACATATTTCCTGAGGCCCCCATGCCCTCCCTGGGATTCCAGCTCTAGACCGAGGTGTTCACTTACCTCTGCCAGCTGCTTGTCGCTGAGATTTGTTCCCAGGTCTCCTGGGAAGATCACAACAGTAGGCTGGTGTGGTCTGGGGGCGGCAGAGCAACAGCCCAGCACCAGGAGAGCCAGGACCAGGGGCAGCCAGGGGCTCATGGTGATGGTAGCCGTGTCTGGCTGCAGCTGTCTTTGTGGGGGCTTTAAAGAGGCACTGTTAACTGAATCAGCGACCCTGCCCCTCCCACCAGGCGAGGCGGGGGCTGACTCAGGGGATGGTGTGTGTGTGTGTGTGTGTGTGTGTGTGTGTGTGTGTGTGTGTGTGTGTTGGCAGCCCCAGCATGAGAAGGAAAAGAAAGGGCTTACACCACCTCCTCCTCTCGCTGCTGCCCACAGGCCCCTTTCCTGAGTCAGGCAGGACCCCAGACCACAGAGACCCACAGGAAACCACAGGCCCATAGGGGAAGGTTGGGTTTTGCAAACTGCACCGCTTGTGAGAACTTTATGAAAGAGAGGAAGGGAGACGAGGCTGGAGGACTCCCTGAGCCCTCCATCTGAAAGCCCCAAGTGGTCAGCCTAAGGGAAGGGGATGGGCCCTTTTTCTGAACCTGGTGATTCCCCCTTCCTGGGCAGACCCTCTCTGTGGGCCCCACCCCACACTCCCAGGCTCTGCCCACTTTTCTTTCCCTGGAAGCCTTCCTTTACTCAGCTTCCTCTCCCTGCTCCGCCTGGCCCGAAGTGAGTGGGCTCTGCTAGGCAGGAGCTGGGGAATTCCACCTGGGCAAGCCCCTATCTTTAGGGGCTGACTCCTCTGGGGTAGTGGAGGGGGAGTTGGTGGCATCTGGAAGCAGACATGGCTTTCCTCTCTTCCTTCAGTGCCTTGGGCAAATGTCCTCACCACTCTGGATTTGTTTCCTCTGCTGTAAAAAGGAGCTCTCTGTCCCCAAATTGATGTGAGAATAAAATGAGATCGAATACATAAAATGCTTAATATAGTGTATGTTGCAAGTCCTCAGCAGACTGGCCGTGATTGCTTTTAATTATCTGAGCCAAGATCATGATTCCAACTTGGAATCAGGAGACTGGGGTCTTGGGCTCTAATCTGCTGTGTGACCTACACTAAATGCCTTCCCCTCTCCAAGCTTTAGACTCTTCAACTATAAAATAGAGGGGAGAGGATTATCTCCAGGAGCCCTTTCAGTTCTCTAGCCCTGCTTCACCCACACAGGCTCCAGCTCTAGTGCCCACCACTTATGCCAGTAAACCAGCAGCGCCCTTCCCGTCCTTCCTCCCAGCCAGCCAGCGTGGGGCAGGATCCACAATTGCCTTCTTCCAGGCATTATTTGAGGACAATAAAAATTCAATAAGCTGTATTTAAAGGGCTTACTCTGTGCCAGACACTTTATATGCTTATCTAATAAATGAGTCTGTGAGATGGAGACAATTAGCTTCCCTTATAGAAAAGTGGAAACTTTAGGGTTCACTAATTAATGAGTCACACAGTCCTGGTTTTCAGTCCCAGCTCTGCCATTCCTCAGCTATGTGACCTTGGGCAAGTCACTTCACCTCTGAGCCATAATAATCATGCGGGTTTTTTTAGATTTACTGTGGAGTACTGTGATAAGTTCCCTATAAACATCTCATCTCATCCTCACCACCATGTGGGAGGCAGGTTTAATGAGTATCCTTTCCATTTCCAGAGGAGGAAACTGAGGCTCAGAGCAGTTAAGGAAATTGCCTTAATCACCCAGTGAGTTAATACACAAAACCAGGATTCAAGCCTCGCGCTCGCTAGTTCTGAAGTTTTTGTGTTTATGGCATTTACAGGGAACTGAGATAACTAAGGGTTGGAGAGGAGTGGGGGAATGGGATGGGGAGACTTAAAACCTGGACCCTTCTCCCCTAACCCCCTGTACCTACTGAATATTGGAGAGAAGGCCTAGGCCTTTGGGGAGTCAGAGGCTAGGGCAAGGGACCCAGGGGGACTATAGTCCAGACTCAAGCATGTGAGGTCAGAGCAATATGATTTTAGAGATGGAAACAAATAGACCCTTCAATCCAGAGGGTCTTCATCTGGAGGCAGACATGGGCTTTAGGAGAATCCATGAAACACCCCCAACTTGCCACCAATTGTACAAAAATGTCGTATCTATGTATATATGTCACATTTCTCAAATTTAGCACTATTGACATTTGGGCTGGATAATTCTTTGTTGTGGAGCCATCCTGATTGTTGTAGAATGTTAGTAGCATCCCCAGCCTCCTCCCACTAGATGCCAGTGGCATCTCCCCCTACCAGTTGTGACAACCAGAAATGTTGCCAAACATTGCCAAATGTCCCCTGGGAGGTTGGGAGGGGCCAAGTCACACCCACTGGTATATGTTGATTTTCCTATGTAAAGGGCCCGAAACTTTCATCATATACTCAAACCACTGATGATGGTCCTCAAACCTTTAAAGATGACTTACTCAACAAATACTGGTTGAGTTTTTACAGGCCAGGCATTGTGTTAAGAATCAGGACTACAGTAGCGACCAAGATAGCTATTGTCTCATTCTCATGGAGCTGAGAGTCCAGTAGGGGAGAAATTGAATGAGTAATTTATTACCAGAGACAAACATCACAAGAGGAAGGCAGAGAAAGAAACTGAGGCAGACCCAGAGCAGAGGATTTACCTCTCTTAGGTCACAGAGCAAGCCAGGGAATGAGTGGGGGGCAATAAGGAACAGTAGCCAAGAGCTTACACTCTAGAGACAAGCTGCTTAAAGTTTAAAGCTCAGCTCAAGCATGGACCTGCTGGGTGATCTGAGTAGTTGACATAACCAGTCAGTGCCTCAGTTTCCCCATCTGTAAGATGAGTGTAATAATAGTGCTTACCTCATGCAGTTATAAGGGTCAAGTGGGTTAACAGATGTAAAGTGCCTGACACATGGCAAGAAGTGCTTGGGGCTACTCCAATTATGATTGCTTCTGGACCAGCTGGCTGCTTTTACCAATTGGAGAGCAGGGAAAGAACACCTTGCCAGGAACCCCAGAACTTGATTCTTGGAGTCAGTCCAAGCAAGAAGCCTCCTTTCCTCCCTCCTTCCCAACTTCCTCCTTTATCCCCTGGCTCCCCAACCCCCATGAAGGGGAACTTGGGGAGAGCTTGGTTTTCAACACAGCAATGGCAGGAAGTGGTTCTGGTTACCACATCCCCTTCCTCACTTCCCCAGCCCCTCCTTCCAATACCACAACACAGTTTAGCCAAGGCCCTGGGAGAGGAGGCAGGAAGCAGGATATACCCCCAGGTGGGCACCCTCTAAGCCTGACCAGAGTCATAGCTTGGACTCTAAGCCCCTCACCTAGGTGGAGGCCTCATCAGGGGAGGGGGCTGATCCTGGAGCCCTGAGTCACCAGCTGGATGACACAGTCCTGCAGGCTGCTATTAGTAACTCCAGGCCCCCAGACCGGGGTCAGCCTCACGAGGTGAGGAACCTCTCCCCCTATCTAGGATGGGGGAACTCCAAGCCTGTTTCTCCCAAACCTGCCAGAGAGGGGAGGGGCAGCCAGGCCTGAGGCCCTGGCAGGATGTTGAGAAGACACTTGTGTCTAAAATGAAGCAGAAAGGTGTGTATATTGCAAGACATTTCCTCAGGGGAGAGCATCACTCATGTACTCACCCCCACCCACAAGCATACCTGCCTTCCCTAGCCCCAGGGTGGTGGCAATTCCCAGGCTGACTCTTAGAGGCCCTAATAATAATATTGTCATGCCTCCCACTTATCTGTACTGAGCTCCTTCAACAGGAAGCCATAGAGTATAGACTTTGGAATCAGACCTCCTGGGTTCAAATTCCAGCTCCTATTCCTTCTGACTGTGTGATCTTAAACAAGTCACTTTGCTCTCTATGGGCCCCATTTCCTCATCTGTAAAATGAGGAGGGAACAGTCCTCACTCAAAGGTTGTGGGGGGATTAAATGAGATTATACATTGCAAGTTTTAGCACATAATAGGTATACAGCAAAAAAGTTATCTATGATGATTCTGGACTCGTGATCCCAGTTAACTTTACAAATTCAGATTCATAAACCTCTTTTACTGGTGAGGAATCTGTGAGGCTCAAGGAGTTACCCAAGTCTATACAGCTAGCAACGGGCAGACCTGGGACTCAACCCAGATCTGACACTAGCACCCTGTTCTTTCTAGCACATTCTGCATGTGCCCCCAGCAACCTCAGTCTTTGATCATTCTAATAGTCAGTACATGGGTGTGTGGGGGAGAGGTGTTGTTGTGGAGGGGCTTGACAGTTTATCCAGCTCTGTCACATACCTTATCACATCTGATTTGTACCAAATGGCAGACCTTCTTAACATATTTGAATCTGAGCTTTAGAACTCCTTGGCATTCATGGAAGGCAGAGATTGTAAATCATTTTCAAAGTGATGGACCCAAGGCCCAGAGAAGGGCTTCAGTTTGTTCACTGTCACACAGCTGGTGAGTGACAGAGCTCCTGCCCAGGCCTTCTGACTCTGAGTCCCGTGCTAATACCAGGTCACTGGATCTGGCAAGAAGGAAGTCAGTGGGGGAAGCAGCCTGGAAGAGTGGGGGGTGCACAGAAGTCAAGCTGGAGGGGAGCCAGGAACCAACAGAGAGAACAGGTATGTGGTATTTGACTGGGTGGATAAAAGAGGAAAAATTAAAGACTAAGGTGGCTGGAAGGGGCAGAGAACAGTCAAGGGGAGTTTCCTTTAAGGTGAGAAGTTCATGCCCCAGAGGAGGGATGGTGCTTGAGGGAGAGACATGCAAATTGAGGGGAAAGGAGGATGAACCTGGGGCCAGTTCTTTTGGCATCAGATTGTCCACTGGCAGATAAGGCTATGTTTGGGGTCCCAGCAAAGCAGGTACAGCCCCAAAACACACATCTAAAAGATTATTTGATTTTTTGTTGTTGTTTTTTTATGAAGACTTTTTTTCAGAGCAGTTTTAGGTTCAAGCAAAATTAAGAGGAAAGTGCAGATTTCCCATGTACCCCCTGCCCCTACACATGCAGAGCCTACCTGGTTATCAGCATCCCTCCCCGGAGTGGTACATTTGTTACAACAGATGAAACTTCACTGATACATCGTAGTCCCCAAGTCCATAGTTTGTGGTTCACTCTTGGTGTTGTACATGCTAT